CGACTCTGGCCTTCATTACAAACTCAAACGCATAGAAATACCGACAAAAATCATGATCTGTGCCGAAGAGTGGACGCCAGACAACGGTATGTTAACCGCTGCCATGAAACTCAAGAGGAATAATATCGTTAAAGTCTATGATAAAGATATTAAAGCAATGCTCTCGTAAACTAAATTTGTTTAAAGTGCTATAAATATACTTTATATTGTGTTAAATAAAGTTACTTTATAACTTATATCCATATTTTAATTATTGGTTATATTTATAACTATTTTATCGCCATTTTGTGTACTATTTATTCAATATAATAACTATTTATATTATATTTATGCAAATGATATATAGATTATAAATCCAGTTAAAAGTGAATTAGTTTTATATATAATGTCATGTTTTATAAACTGATTTTTGATTAGATTGTAATGGATTTTACTTTTAATAAAAATTTCTTGTTTTGAATTGTACAGTATTTGTTATGTAAAACTTTATTAACGCATAATTTGATTTAATTGCCATAATTAGCAATAATTTATTGCAATTTTATATTAAAAATTGTACAATTATTATATAATTATTAACAATTGATTAAATTTAATTAATTGTAAAAATTAATGATGAACTAAAGTAAACGTGGACTTTTAAGGAAAGTCGGCAACGTAAATATGGTAACTTTATTGAATTGTTTTTATAGAATTTTTAAAAAAGTTTAAAAAAATTTAAATTACCTCTCGATTAAAGAGTCAAATGAAATAAAATATAAAAACAAACAAAAAACTTTTGGTGAATTTAGTTTTAAGCAGTTTTCCTCTACGAGTCGGTAATTTTAATCGTAAAATAAAGTTTTTATATTTATTTAATGCCTTTATATCCTTGAGTGCAAACTTTAATACCAAATGATCTCGTCTTTACTCTATAGACTTGAGACTATTTTCATTTGAATAGTTTTTTCATTTGAATTTAGTTTATAATAACATTATAACAGTTATTTCGCCTCCAGTTATAAGAAATCATTTTTGTTTTCATTTTTACATTTAATTGGTTTGAGTGAAGAACTGATTGTTTAGGGAAAATGCAACTCGTATTCAGTTTTTAAGGCAAATCATATGAGATATTGTATTAATGTTAGTACAGTATTAGAGAGAAATGGCTTAAAGTTTTTCAATTTTTTAAAAACATCCTTGAATACCAATGATAACCATGTGTGAAATGGGAATTGGTAATAGATTTGACAGATTTTATTATAAAATTGTATTTTTGTTGTAATATTTTGGACGTTGGATATCAATTGCACACTTCTTTGACATTAAATGTCATTAATTTGTTTATTTCTATATAAACATCTAGATTAATAATAAGTTATTACATATTTTTGCATAGAAATTGCTGATAATTTTTAAATGTTTATTATATAATAAATTAATTAAGTGTCTATCAAAATCATACATATCATTTCGCAAACATACATGTATGAAATCATTGCAAAAAATATGTGGGAAATAATAATCGGTTTCGCAATCATATCAATTATAATTGTGTTATTAATTGTATGGCTATTCTCGCGACTGGACTGCGATTTACAGCTAATACTATACGAAAAGTTTGGTCACTCAGTGAACGACCTGAACGGTAAGGTGTGTTGGATTACCGGCGCCAGCAGTGGTATCGGCGAGTCGTTGGCCTATTTGTTGGCCACAAACGGTATCAAACTGGTCCTCTCGGGCACTAACCATCAGCGCCTGCAACACGTGAAGACACAGTGCGTTAGTTTTGGCCAATTGGACGACAAGGATGTGCTGATTGTGTGCTTTGATATCAAAGACCACGAGAAACACCAGCAATGTTTAGAGCAAGTGTTGGCCCACTTTAAACGCCTGGATATACTGGTGTCAAACGCCGGCCGCAGCCAAAGGGCAGCCTTTCAGGACATCAATATATCGGTCGATAAAGAGATTTTTGACATTAATGTCTTCGGACTCATCGGTTTGGCGAGAGTTGTGTTGAAGTATTTTTTAGAGCAACAAATAAAGGGTCAGTTTGTGGTGACGTCCAGCGCTGCCGGAAAGATAGGTAAAGCATTTTTTATGCACTTCTACGTAATTTTAGCGATAATAATGCAATCATATATCAGGTGCGCCCCAGTCGTCCTCTTACACCGGCTCTAAACACGCCCTTCACGTAAGTATAATATTGATATTTAAAATATTTAAACATGGTTAATGTTAATGTTGACCACGATCATGATCAGGGTTATTTTGAATGTCTACGAAATGAGGTGCAATCATTGGGTATGTGTGTGACAGTGGTGTGCCCGGGACCGGTCTACTCGCGTATACTCGAGAGCCTATACACCGACCGAATCGACGTCAAAGTCAATAACGAGACGAACCACAAGAATCGGCACCGAATGGAGACGAGTCGGTGCGCGTATCTGATGGCCGTCGGAGTGGCCAACGGGTTGGACGAGTTGTGGATCTGTCGACAGCCACTGCTGTCGCTGTACTATTTGACACAATACGCGCCCACAATCACTAGACGCCTGATGCCGAGGTTGGCCTCACCCGAGCGCCTCTATAGCGTTAGGGAAGGCGTTAAACAAGTGTAGCCCCGAGTTGTGACAATTTCATGTGTGTGTGTGTGTTATGTTTGCTTTCATGTATTTATAATGAGTTTTAAAATAAATTTCTAGTGATATGCTGTTACGTGTTTTGTCAATCAATGTGTTAACACAATAGGTGCATTTAATTGTATATTTATTTAAGTCATTCACACAAATGATAAGAGAGAGAGAGAGAGAGAGAGAGAGAGAGAGACTGATATGAAAATGTAAAGATAAAAGGCTTAAATCAAAATCTAAAAATATACCTCAAAAACAGATGCGATTGTTATGTGATATTATACAGCAATATATTCGCTGATAATAATGGTTAACAATAATGTTTAAACAATGATTTCCCAATACATTCACAAATCTCTAAACTTGATTCTCGGGAAAAATAAACATATCGTATATTGTTTTGTTATTTCATCACAAAATTGGCAATAATTGAGAATATTCTGTGAAATTTTTATGTATTCTGTAGTAGTGTTTCATAGGGTTTGTATCAATATATTGCAATAGAAATCTTAACAATTGAATATAAATTTTCATATTTTGTAGTTGTATTCCTATGAGTGCTAAAAAATCAATACTTGGTGTGTGTTATTGAAATTGTTTAAAACAGTGTATATAATGTGATTTAAAAACTTTTGTTTTACTTGTTTTTGTTATTATTGTTTGTGTTTTAGAAATTATTTATTGCAAAATAAGTGATTTTAACGTTATTTCATTGCATAACATATGACAACATATCAATAGATCATTAAATATTTAGCCAACAAATTAGAAGTGGATTGTCGTGTAAGTAATTGTTTATCGATTAAATGAATTTGTGTTTTATATATAGATATCTAAATAGATATTTACTTCATCAAGGGAAGAAATTCAAACGACAATTATTTTTTCGTTTATCTCACTTATCTCTCTCTCTCTCTCTCTTATCATTTGTGTGAATGACTTAAATAAATATACAATTAAATGCACCTATTGTGTTAACACATTGATTGACA